CCGCAGGTTTCTCTAGTCTTCGTAACATAATAGCGATTTTCCTCTTGAAAAAAATGCAACGGCTAAACCATGCGCTGATATGATCGATCACACTCCCCCTTGATCGCGTCCAAGATGCGCCTGAAGTAGCACAGCTAGCAATCTAGCAACGAAGAAAGAAAGCTCTGCCGCCGAACAGCGCAACCTAGATCCCCCGATTAAACACGACCAACCCCCCATCGCCTCCGCGACCGTGAAACTCCTCCTCGAGACTATCCGCGCTGATCCTCTGGCGCTGGGGGAACGCGGCCAGCGCAAACGGCAGCGCGAGATAGCTCATGGCTAGGATCAGGCCGAGGTTCACCGGCGTGGTGAATCTCGGGTTCCTCCGCAGCCAGTCGGTGCGCTGGAGGCGCACGAGCAGCAGCGGCGGGACGACCATGATGGGGGTGCAGTTGAAGACGCGGCTGAGCGCCGTCTCGCCGACGGCGAGCGTGGCCGCCTTCCGGCTCCTGCCCAGGCTGGGCACCTCGTTCTCGGCCTTGCCCTCGCGGGCCAGGCGCGCCCTGTCCGCGTCCGACAGCACCGGGAACACGTCGATGCCGGCCCGCATCTCCTCGCCGCGCATGAGGAAGACGTTCAGCACGCCCGCCGACGCCACCGCCGCGAACGGCACGAGCCGCCCGAGGATCAGCTTCGTCGACGGCGAGAACCGCCGCAGACGCGGCACCAGCGAGTTCAGCCCCACGGCCACCGAGCACGACGCGCTGACGGCGAGGAAGTAGGACTGCGCGATCTTGGAGTACGAGAGCGGCGTCGATTTGTTCGCGTTCGCCGAGTTGATGGCTACGTTGAGGGATTGGTTCGTGATTTGCCAGAGGACCGTTCCGGTTATCTGTTATCGCAGGTTTGTGTAAGCTCTCGTGTCATTTTTCTGCTTTTCCTTCCTCCCCCCTCTCGAGCTGTGGGTATGGATATTATATGTAAGAGGTATGTATACCTTTAAACCAGGCGTAAGCATTCCAGCCGTGACGGCCAAGTTGGTCAGCGCGAAAGCGGACATGCGAAAGGGTAAGAGGACTGGCTCTCCGGTATCTGGCGACCTCGATTAACTCGACAGCTCGAAGCGACGGTGTAGAGACCATTGTCTCTAATTCCTGATCATATCATGGTACCATACCGGGATGCAATGTAGAATCGACAATCTTCTTGGCCTTCCAGAGCTCAGGCGTCATGTTCTTGATCTCTCCTTGTTTGTACGCCACCACCAACTTCTTTGCTTGCTCGAGGCCATGTTTTCCCGCGAGGAGGGTTCTATCATCGACGAGTCCAAGGTTAGAGGGGTTTTTTGTACAACAAACGGGCGACACGACAATACCAATAACCCCCCGCCAACCAGCAAACAAACAAATTGGAACGCAACGCTTTTTCGCATCTTCATTCATACCTTGGGTCGGTAATGGTAGCCGTCTGCTTAACCCGGCCCCAGTACGTGCTTAAGTCATATTGCGACTCGGGCAACTCTCGATTGCCTGGCAGCGAAGCAGACATGGCGAGAAACTTGGGATATGATACAGCTTTACTCGAGTTGACGTTCAGCTATTACACGACAGCGCGATTGTGACAATTGAAAAGGAACGGACAGCCGATGCTACACAAGCCAGCCCAGCCCAGCCAATGTGACGGGAGGCTTTATGTGATAGCTAGAAGTTACTTGTGCTACTGACAATATCTCCGTCGTGTAGTACCTACTTGGGTCCTCTGCCGTCGTGGGTCGTTCCCGACGGGGAGGACTCTTCCTTTTTACCTAAGGTAAGGTAAGTGGATGTTAAGTAACCGGTCTTTGTAATAGATCGGAGAGCGCGTGTGTTACCATCGCACAAAAAAATAAGATAGCAATTTCTAAGTGGGCCGATCTCGGTTGTCAGAATGTACCTAATAGTAGAGTAAAGCGTGTAAGCCGCAACAAAGCGGGGAACTGGGAACGCTACGGCAAGACCCCCGAGACAAAGAGGATGTGCTTCCGAGTGACATTGATATGGATTCGGTATCATAGCAAGGGATATGGATTTTATTACAGGTGAATTTGATTGGGTGGTACGATAATATATGCAACCTCGGATCGTGAAGGTGAATGGCTTACAAACAAAACGTGGGGTAGCATTGTGCATTTTGTCATGACAAAGAAAGAAAAAAAGATGAAAAAATTAAATGCGTGCAAATTCAGAAATAGCGCAAAAGTTAATCGAGCACAGCAGGGCTCGAACCTGCAATCTTCAGAGGATGGAGATTTTGGTGAACCGAAATCTGACGCCTTACCATTAGGCCATGCGCCCTTGAAAAGTCTGTTAGCAGATTCAACCTATATACTTCCGCCTCTCACAGAAGAAAATTTTCCATGGCCACCAATCATCTCCACACCTGCAATACGCTTGACACTGTTCGTCCAACTACATGTGGGTATTCTCTACCCATTATCTAATCAGCCAGTAACCTCTGCCCTTTTAATGTCGTACTTGAGACTGGCGTTCCTGATTTAACTGAGAATTCCACTCTTATTGATTCAACGAGTTGAAGGTATATTACAAACTCGATTCATGATTGCGATGGCGCCAGGTGTCACCAGGTGACAGGTAGCAGGAAGCCCCTTACAGTTGATTAGGAGCGTCCTTTTCTTTACGAAGGAAAAGGGGGGGAAAAGATAATAGACCGTCGCCATTGGCTTATAGGATTAAATGTATGCAATACTGGTGTTGTGATAATGTGATTAAAATCGGTAGAAACAGGGGTGACAAGTATATATATATATAATATAAAAAAAAGACAGTAAAGAAAAAATAATTGGCCGCTTAGGGAATCGAACCCCAAGGTCAACGCTGTTGAGGGAAGACACGCTGAGGTAGAGATGTTATGAAACAGGTTCGCTGAGCTAGAGAGATAATACCGCTAGACCATACCAATCCGGCCTTCATGTCATATTGTTTCTTAAGGGCTTGAATGCTGTTCCCTATTATAAGCCTTTGATCTATCGAACGATTGGATGTAGAGGCTTCGTCAAGGGTTTGTGAACGGACAGTTGGTAAAGTTTATTAGGAGTATAGTGGAGGGGGATAGAATCGAAGAGATGGAAATCGAACCTGCCTACCTTAGGTACTTAAATACCATTCTAATCCAGATGGACGGCGAGTCAACTAGGATAGTACTTAAACTTCTGCTATATCTTGGGTATCTCGTTTCACCAGGCCGAGAAGTGAATAGCTCCGGATTCCGAGGCCCCCTAGACTCATAGGCGGTGGACTAGCTATACTTGGCACATTGTGAAGACCGACAACTCTTACTTGTCCGGATACAATATATAATCATGGCTTGTAGTTTGGCCCAGCTTGGCAGGAAGAACTCGAACTTCACAACTGATTTAAGTAAGTACCTAGTGAAACACGAACAGGTACCCGAACAGAAGATGACGGCGGTGACGACGAAAAATGCATGTGATTAAACACGCATCTCGGCTTCCTGCATACCTATGGAGGACCTTGTAGGTCAACGGCTCTTTGCTTTTGGTAACGAGGTAACTAATTAATGCAGCCTGCCGACGGAAAGCTGACATGCGGCTGCGGATTCAGCGAACACCTGGTCCGAGCATGCCCGGCGCATGGCACAGCACAGTTAACGATTCGTAAATGGTACGGAGGAGAGCAAAGCCCTCTCTATCAAGTTGATCAGTAATCACAGCGTCGCTCGTTTTTCGAGGGTACGACTTGGCTCAGGCTATTGCACATGAGTCCATGACACCCCTTGCCAGCTGAATAGTCAGCCATAATGACGCTTCGCTGTGGCACAGTATCCTTGGGAGATGGAACCCAGCCTGGTATGTACGAGTCTTCAATATAGGGACTAGCTAGGTATCCGATCCCACGTCAGTCTAGGAGGCAGCTTGAACTTATAGTGTGTGATAAAAGCTACTTGATTATTCTATTAGCATTACGTATGCATATAGTATCTAGCAACTACACCCACGTATCTTAATGAATTAGACGCGGTTACAGCTTCGTGGCCTTCCAGCTACCGAAGTCCTTCAACCACTTCTTCACCGTCTTGATCTCCCACAGGTGAGCCTCACGAATGAACTGAGGCTCGGCCTCCACATTCAGGATGCCGTAGGAGTCCCAGTGGTGGCCGGCTCCGGTGATCAGGAATTCCGGGTGAAGATCAGTCGAGACCGAGCCCCGTGGGGGCGCGAAGGTGGAATGGTAGCAGAGATCATTCCAGACGTCCTGGCGCAAATCGTTAGCAGGTTGGAACTTGATAATAGCGAACTCTTCGCGAGCATACGCACCTGGTCTCCATCGATAAACGCCAGTCTGTCGGCGGTAAGGTTGTATCCTCCAAACCCGTTGTATGCCTCTACATCGGGGGTTGGCGGGATCGAGTTGTACTTCCCGGGAGCAAAGGCCCAGGTGCACCACTGCTGCTCGTAGCTCGTGTCTACAACACGAGAGAGCAGAGAAGGGCCTTCTTTTGGCGCATCAATGTAAGCACCCTACATACCAAGAAGTAAGTTCGTGGTCTGATTACATGTACCATCGTTAGTTGTGCTTGCTCACCTGTTCAACGCAGCTTGTGTAAAGATACGAGCGCGTGGAGGTATTCTCGATTTCAGCCCAAGCTGTTGCGTTTTGTTTTCCCTGTGAAAAATATGTCAGTCTTGATAGTCTCAGAGGAGCCCTAGAGGCGATAGGGTTTGCTGGCTCCCAGATCGACGTAGGCAAGGGAAAGACTAGGACTATAAGGCCCTCCCCAGTGAGAAAAAAAAGCCACTTACGAAGCAGTCGTTGCTGTTGTAGTCTCCTGAAGCGCACAGCGGGCGTGTGTAAGTCTTGACATAATTGGCATAACTACCGAGGCCACTGCAAGAAAGAAAAATTCACGTTAGCAAACAAGTCTCCTGGACAAATCGAAGGGGTTGAAACATGATATCGGCTATTAAGCCCCATTGGGAGCTCGAGTGAGGTTGATGATAGAGAATGACTTACACCCAGGGTTCGCCGTTAGTGTAATTCGCCAAGGCATAATCGACTTGGGTTATCTCTTCCGGGGCGTCAATGTCAGAAACATTTCCGCAGAAGTAGAAGAAATCTCTCGACCCATAGGTGTCATTCCAGTTCAACTCCTGCCATGTACTCGAGAAGTAGAATCCCGGGTTGCCAATAGGGTCCTATGCATCTGGTCAGCTCCACCGATCCCGTTTAGGCTTCTCGATAACCACAGTTGCGTCGGAAAGGGAACGGGATCTCGGGGGAGTGAAACTCACCGCAATCGCGGTAGCGAAGTCCCTGTTATCCGTCACGGATTCTAGACCAAAGAGGGTTTTGAATTCCTGGATCGCTTGCGACTGGTTCCTGGCTAAGAGCTGGTCGAAGTTGTCGACGATCCGCGTCACGCGTGCAACGCAATCTTGCGGCGCATACTTTAATATGGGGTTATACCACTCTGGATAGCCCACATCCACCTTGATCGGGGCAGACGAAGCAATGCCACCGTACAAGACATCTCCGTGGACTTTGACGGATAAAGCAGTCTGCGCTCCTGCCAAGCTACCGCCATAGAGAATCCATGGGGTCCCGGGTGCGGTCAGGTCACCATCGATACCGGGGAACACGGCATGTTGAGCAAAGTACGCATTATCAGCTATCGTCTGATTTGTTGTGAGGAACAGCAGCTCATCCGTAGTGCTGGTCGCAAAAGGATATGACTCGCCATAGTAGCGATTCTCGAGAATAACACCTTCGGAATCAGTTAGATCTGGTTCCGCGGTCCGTTGCTTCACATTTCATCCCTCCAGATGTCTTGCTGCCCTTAATCTTACCTAGTCCATTTGTGGCTTCCATCAAAATCTGGATGATCCCAGTCTGAAGATTGGAAAATCTGCTGGGTCCGCTTGTCTCTCCGGAGATGTAGAGATACACCGGTCCGCCTGCAGCATATTAGTGTTACTGCATCATAAAATGGGGTGTTAACAAAATTCACCTGGCTTATAGTAGGTGCTATCAAAATAATATCGCTGCGTAAAAGTACCATTGCTCAGAGGGGATTTTGAATACTGCTCATCATCGGGGAAGTGGTTTATCAGCTGATCGAAATAGTTGACGTCGTATTGAAGCTGATCGCGAGGCGTGTCCCTCGTCTTAATCTGCATCGCACCAACATGCCGAGATACGGCGGCCAAGAGGCCAATGGAAACCCAAGACAGCTTCATGGCTCTCTGATGTGAGATGAAGCGATAAAGATTGAGCGGAAAGGGAAGAGCCAAGGACTTCGGCAGCGGTCTATCCACTGGAAGGAGTGGAAGAAAACCCGGATCCTCGGGGGCTGATGTAATGGCGTAGGTGAATGGAGCATCGTGTTAGCGAGCCAAGGATGTCATTGGAATAAGCATTGCGTGCCCAAAATCTCATCGAAATACGGCCAAAGTAACGCTATCAGCATCCCAATTGGGAAGGTTAGCCAGGGTGACATCACGACCCGGCCAGTTGCATCGGGCGTAGAATTATTATCAGCTCATGCAGCTTTCCGTCTCTGTCTCTCTTCGTCCATTCCCAGCATGGCAAAATGCGGTCAAATTCTAGATAAGCATTATCCACCCAAAAAGCAAAAGCACAAATCCTTCGAGCTTTTGCTGCTTCACCGTAACCCTTCCTCCCTTTTGGGAACGGGAACGGGAACGAGGAATGCCGTCATAAGTAACCCAACAAAGAGCCGCATATGTAACCACTTTGGTTGGTATGTAAGTTTCTTTTCTTCACGGCAATCGACGACGGTATATGTAATAAGATGTTAATATTTTGGAGTTTGTAAAGGTTAGGCGAGAGCACACATGCAGCCGGCTGTAGATGTAGGTACAGTACCTTGGAATCGGAACTCGGGGACCGCGGAAGCTTATCCTATTGTCATGTCTCATGTGTATGTTGGTTTGATGAGGACGATTGGCTAAATTACCATAATACGATGACATAATCATCATAAAAAGCGTTGGTGATATAAGCGAACGACCTCCATGGAGTAGTGTGAATGAGCCATATGATGACTGAGTAGATGACTTCTTATGAAGCTGGAAGTAGCTTGACCAGAGACGAAAGCATATCCATCATCAAATTATACAGGAGAGGAAGGGAATGTCAACGTTCATATATGAGAGCCATCTCTCTTGCGTGATGCCAAAATAAATACCTAAGTGAAGTCTCCAGAGAATATCGAGAGGTGGTTAATATTATAAGTCTCATGGAAACTAACCACCTATTAGGTATGGCTCACCATGATCTCGTGGCATCTAGCTCAA